ACTTTTGCTGGAAAAGTGACCCCCACAGCCCCAAGAGAGGCTTCTTCTTATGTTCTGGCATGTAGAACCTTCCAGAAGGGCAACCTTCCTGCACCTTGCTGAGGAGGTAGGAAGCACAGGGGCCAGGCAGGACCCCAAAAGCTCTCTCCCGGGGCAGCCCGTGCGTGAAGCTCCTGGGCTCCCGCGCTCCGCGGCCGGGCCTGATAACAGGGGAGGGTCCGCGGGGCGAGGGCTCGCGACGGTTGGCAGCAGGCTCCTTTTGATAAACTTATCAGGCCAAACCTGGGCCCGGCTGGACACCAGCTCTCAGATTTCGCTCCCTGTCTTCGTGCAGACCTTGCCCTCAGGTCAGGCCCTGCTGGGCTTAACTCCCTCCTGGACCCCAGGGATGAGGCCAGGAGATCCCCCGGGGCGTCTGAGATCACCCCAGCTTCCCCCAGTCAGAGGCGCCTGGTGAATCCCACCCTCCCTGTCCCGGGCAAGCTACGGGGTCCCAGGAGGTGAACAATGCCACAATGCATGTCCATGCTATGCCAGGGGCTTCTGAGCTGAGCTCAAGGTCACGGAGGTTGGGGTGCCACCCTCAGGAGGGGGATGGGTACAGGAGCTTCGGGGACCCTGCCGGGCTCAGAGCTGTAGTGGGGGTGCAGGGCTTTTCGCCTTGGGTCGGCGGCTGATATTAAGGGAGGGAGGATTTTCTTAAGGCCAGTGATAATGTTATCACACATGCCCCTTATACAGCTATGAAGCTGGCTGAGATACAGGACAAAAAGCCCCGTACCCCCCGCCTCCAGCCAGCCACAGCCTCTGTGGTACCTCACTTCTCACGCCGCAACCCCCTTCCCGGGCCTCCCGGACAGATCCACCCGGAGACATCGGAGCCCAGAACAGCCTCTGGTGCTGACACGTGGATTCCGCCAAGTCTATGTCTCATCTGTGTTTCCAAACACACATGGCTCTGCACTCCATGGATGCACTCGAAGCTTTCCCCGAAGGGTCCCCGGGGTGACTCTCCCTGCAGCCACCGCAGGCTCTGCCGAGGGTGTGGGTCAGATTTACTGGCCTGCAGCACCTGTCCAGTGGATGGAACCAGGGGCTGCGACCCTTTAGCCAATCTGTTCCTGGGGCCTCCCGGGGCGCGGCTGGTGTCCAACTCCTGTGGCCCCAGGCTGGCTGCTCCCTGAGGATGGGTTCAGTGCTCAGAGGAGGCGAGAGAGGTTCCGGTGGCTTCTCCGAGAGGCGTCTGTCAGCGCAGTCCCTGAGGTTCTCTTCTGGGGACAGGGGCTGTGACACCCCATGCTCCTATAAAGACCCAGACCCCCCAAACCCCTACTCCCCAGGCCACAGATCTCCCCCACACTGTCTCCCTAAAGCTGAGCTCTGGGGTCTCCTGAGCCCCTGCCTCGGGCCCCCAAAGCAGCTGGTGAGCCCAGCCCCTGGGCCTGCACCAAGGGGCCCACTGGCGGAGGTTTGCGGTTCGCGAGTGGGGGACCCTCAGAGCAGGGCCCGTTCTCGATAAGCCAGAACTCCAGCTTCACTCCAGATGGGCCAACACACTCGAGCCCATTTCCCTCCTTATCAGGAATTTCCATGGGAGGCAGGGAAGCCTGGGGGGGGGTGGGTCGGGACCCTGCAGTCCCAGCGGAGAGGCGGGACCAGTGGGTGTGTCTCTGGGGCGTGGCTTCTCAGGGGCGTGTATGGGGGCGTGGTCTCGTTGGGCGTGGCCTCACGGGCTTGGCCTCAAAGGGGCCTGTGCAGGGCGGGAGATGAAACACCCCTCCCCCCCTCCGCCTCACACTCCCCCTGCTGCCCCCAGGAAGGAAAGTTCTCTTTGGGGCCCTCAGTTTCCGGGGTCCCCGCGGGCCAGGCTGTGGGTTGGGGTGAGCGACCCAGGACTCGGTGTCCGGCCCAGCCTGGAGCCAGCCACCTGCAGTGCTACCCCTTCGTCCTACGGGCTGCCTGCCTGGTTTTCTTTTTGTTTTTTTTTTTTTATTTTTTTTTATTAGTGAAACACCATGAGGTACAGTTGTAGACTTACAAATTTTGTGCTTGGGTTTCAGCTATACAGTGATCGAGTACCCATCCCTCCACCAGTGCCCATTTTCCACCACCATGGGTCCCAGTACCCCTCCCACCCCCCCATCCCCCCATCCCACCCTGCCTCTGTGGCAGGACATTCCCTTTTGTTCTCTCTCTCCTTTTGGGTGCTGTGGTCTGCAAAAGAGAAATTGAGTGGCAGTCATGTTCGGTCTATAGTCTACTCTCAGCATGCATCTCCCATCCTGGGCAGATCTTCCCAGCACCCTTTACTTGGTGCTCCCTTCTCTGTCTGAGCTGCCTTTTCCCCTACCAAGTGCAGCTGGCCTCCAAGCCATGGAGTAAACCTCCTGGTATTTATCTCCTGCCCGCCTGTTTGCTCCTTGGTGGTGACGCCAACCGAGGGTGCAGTTAAGGCGGGTCTCAAGGCGGTGACCCCAAGGCGCTGGCCTCGTCCCTCATCGCCCCATCCCACCAGAGGTCACTCATTCCACTGGACTCTAGTGGGGTCGCCCAATTGAGCCCAGGACCGTGAGGGAGAGGCCCTAGCCTGGGGGCTTGAACCCCTGGGTTCTGTGTGACATGGTGAGGGGGCGACCATCTCCCTCTCGGCACCCCCACATCCTGCTCTCTCTTGGGATCCAACCACGGACAGCAGCCGGGCGCACCCCATGGCTTGCTGGGCAGAGGCCCCAACTCAGGGCTTGATGGGGAGCCGGGCCCCTGCCCCCACCTGCACAGAAGCTGCCATTGGCCTGGGGGTTGGTGTCGGTCCGGAGGTTCCCGGGGACTCCCACTCTGCAGAGAGCTCTCAGACAGCTCTAGGGTCCTGGCAACTGCCCGCTTTGGTTCAAGGGCACTGGGCCTTTCCAGCGCTAAGTGCTCCACCTGGCCCTCACTGCTGAGGACACTCTAAGCACCTGCGCAGGGCGGGGGGGTCCCTGCTCAAGGACTGAAGTGACCAGCAGAGGGCCCGGGCGCTCTCCTCTGCAGCCCCGGCCAAGGCTGAAGAAAGGCACATTGTCTGGGCCCCACCCCGCCCTCCTGAGAAGGGCTGAAATCCTGACAGTGCGGTTTTGTTAAGCAAACAAGGAGCATGCAAAGCAGCGGGGTCCCTGCACTGCCCGGTGGACGGGTGGGGCGAGCTGCCCATTCCGTGCCCCGCCCCGCTGTGTGGCCTGGAGCCAGTCTCTGCCCTCTCTGGGCCTGGCAGCGCTGGGCCCTGTCCCTGAGCTCTGGAGGCAGGCCTGACCTCACACACTCGGGGCAGGGTTCATGCGGCATGCTCTGCACCCCCAGACTTGTCTGGGTGACGTGCCCAGGTTCGGGCAGGGCTGCTGGTGCTCGCAGCCCTGAGGGGTATCAGGCTGCAGGGGAGAATTTCAGGGGTCATGACAGTGAAGAGCGGGGCAGAGGGACCGGCTCTGGGTGGGCTCAGGCCCTGAACCTGGCTCAGCCGTGCTCTCCCGCTGCCGGACCCTGCGTCCTGGGCTGGCTCTGAGCCTGGCTCCCCGTCTTTCGGGGGGACACGGACCCCTCCATGGTGGGGCTCGCTTGGGCCGGAACCACCTGTGAAAGCCCTGAGCCCCGTGCCCCCCAATTTAGGGCCGAGAGCTGGACCCAGAGGCACTGCAGAGGGCAGGTCCAGGCTGGGGGTTCCCAAGCTTAGTGCTCAGAGCGGGGAGAGGAGCTTCCTGCGAGAATGACCCAGGGGGGCTTCCTGAAGGAAGCAGTGTTGGTGCAGCCCCTGACCCCATGCTGATCCACTGGCTACTGTGACCAGGTTTGGGGAACCTCCCAGCCCCCCACCTCACGGGGGAGGAAGCTCAGCTGCAGTCCGGTGAGGGAGGGTGGCCCGTTCGCGGAATTACAGCTGTGCTGTCCCCTTTGCCATATAAGGCCATGTGCGTGGGCTGTGGGATCAGTGCTCCCTGTCACCTTTGGGGGCTCTTATCCTGCCACAGGAAGGGGGTCCTGGGTCCCCTGGGGGGCCTGGGGCGGTGCTGGGGTCCTTGTAGGTGAGTTGAGAAGCAGCAGGGCTGGAGCGATAGGCCAGCAGGCAGGCTGGCCTGCTGGATTCCAGCCCCCAGTAATGCCCTGAGCCCCCCACCCCACCAGGGAGTCAGCCCTGAGCAGCCCGGGGTGTGGCCCAAACATAAACACAAAAGAAAAGCAGAACCAAAGGGAGGAGGTGAGGGGCCAGGCCTCAGGGCAGCCCCCCTCACCCGCCCCGGGCCCCCCAAAGCTGAGGAAGATCAAGGCGGGAGCAGCATGTTCTGGGCTCCCTCCCGAGGTCCCAGGCCCAAACCTCACTGTGGGTTTCCGAGAACTCAAAGAGGATGAGTTGGAGTTTGTGGCCATTAAAGACAGCCGCCCCAGGAAACGGATAGAGATCAGCCGCCCCCCCCCCCCCCCGCACCGCGGTGTGGCTGTGTGGCTGCCCCCGTGGCCTCAGCACCCCCCGCCCCTCCCCCTGCGCCTGGGAGGCCCCAGAAACGCAGGTCCTGGGTAACAAATCCGCCTTTATTTGTATGCGCGGCAGGAGAGGGACTGCCGAGGGTTTCTTCAGCCCTGGCTCCAGCCCAGACCCGGCACCACCCTGGGCACTGGGTGCCAGCGAAAGGGTCAGCCAGGGGCGGGGCAGCAAGGTTTCCCAGGGCCGTGGCCACGCTGACCACCTGCGGCCAGAGGGAAGCCGGGGAGCGGGGACTGGTCAGGTGCGCGGAGGCTGGTGGGATGAATTCTGTCCGGGTCAGCCCAGGCCCCGCAGCAGGGGACGGTGACCTTGGGGCTCTGCCCTGGGGGGCACTCCAGTTTTTCACAGCTTTAACGTTGGCTCAGGAGAGATCCCGCACTTGGCAGCAGGAGGAGAGTTGGCCCAGAGAGGGAGAGTGATTTGCCTGAGGTCACACAGCCGTCGGGGAGCCTGGACCCAAGCTGTCGGGTGGGGGCTTGGGAGGGGCGTGGCCTCACTTGAGGTTGTGTTGGCTCTCCCGGTGTCGCCGCAGGTCCACTTTGCGCTGGAACCCTTTGGCGCACAGCTCGCAGCTGAAGGGTTTGAAGCCCGTGTGCTTCCGGCTGTGCGTGATGAGGTTGGAGCTCTGGCTGAAGGCCTTCCCGCACACCTGGCACTTGTGCGGCTTCTCACCTGTGGGCCAACGAGAGTCAGGGGCCTGCAGCGGCCCAGCCCTGCCCCCAGCCCTCCCTGGGCCTCCCCACACCCCTCCCACACTGGCTTGATGGGTCAATTTTGGTTTTGGGGTCACACCCCATGATACCCAGGGTTACTCCCCACTCAGTGCTCAGGGCTACCCTCCAAGCGGTGTTATCGCTCCAGCCCCCTCCCCCACTTGCTTTAGTAAAGGGGAATAAAACAGGGAGAAGCCCCGGCTGGCACCTCCCTGCAGGTGCCCTCCCGGCTCGGGACAGCAGCTGTCTCTGGCTGGGCAGAGTGGCCGGTGCCCGCAGATGGCCACCACAAAGGAACCCTCAGCCCAGGAACAAGCTCAGGTGACAGCGCCGGAGTGGAGGTGAAGAGGGACGGGAAGGTTGGACGCGCGGAGGAGTAACTGAGAGCGAGAAAGGAGTGAAGGGAGATGCGGACGGAAGGAGCAGAGGAGGAAGGGGGGAAGGAAGCAGAGGGACACACAGCGGGGGGCTTCCGTCCGCCACAGCCCACAGGGGCCCCTGAGCCCCGCCAGGAGCACAGAGTCAGGCGTGAGCCTGAGTGTCACTGGGTGTGGGCCAAGGACAGAAAAGAAAAGGAAAGGAAAGGAAAAGTAAGAAAAGGAAAGAGAAGGGAAGGGAAGGGAAGGGAAGGGAAGGGAAGGGAAGGGAAGGGAAGGGAAGGGAAGAGAAGGGGAAGGAGGGGAAAGGAGGAAGGGAGGAGGAAGAGGGAGGGACCCTTCCCAGGACCCCTTCGCCTCGCCCGGCTGCCCATGGGGTCTGCCGCGGCCCACGCACCCGTGTGGATGTACGTGTGCTTCTTCATGTCTGACTTCTGGTGGAAGCGCTTGCCGCAGAACTGGCAGGGGTAGGGCCGCGTGTCCGAGTGGATGAGCAGGTGCGTGGACAGCGTGGACGAGCGCTTGAAGGCTTTCCCGCACATCCGGCACTCGAACGTGCGCTCCTGCCGGGGGAAACGGGGCGCCGGGGGGTCAGGCGCCGGCGGGGCGCTGGGCGCAGGGCTGGACCCGGCCGGGATCCCCTGAGGAACAGGACAGGCCATTGGGGTGGGGAAGCACGGCCCCGCCACGGCCCCCAGGGCTTCCTGCCCCTCCAGGACCTTCCCGAGTGACCCGCACAGCACCGTCCCCCCCCCACCCCAAAACCCACACTCGGGCGTGTGGTGGAGAAGATGTCGCCTTGGGGGATATTAACCAGCAAGGGGTGGGACTGCAGAATTAGGGGCCCTGATCCTTCTGCTTTTTTCCACTTCCATTTCGGGTCACACCTGACTGTGCTCAGGTTGACCCCGGCTCTGCACTCAGGGTCACTCGGGCAGGACTCAGGCGACCATATGGGCGCAGGGGTCAAACCAGGCAGGTGCGTTAACGGCCAGCGGCCTCCCCGCCGCACTATTGCTCCGACCCCTCCTTCCACTTTCGCAGTCTTAGACATGTCCCTGCGCCACCCCCCCCCCCCCCCCCGGGGCCTCAGCTTCCCCTCTGTGCCTAGGCTGGGAGCCATGACCTCAAGGAGTCCCTAGACGGCACTGGCCAGTGACCGCCTCCTGCGGCCCGCCCCACCCGGCACCCCTCTCTGTGGTCAGGCCCCGGGCCAGGGAGCGACAGGCACTCACCTGGGAGTGGACGAGCGTGTGCTGCTCCAGGCTCACCGCGTGCCCGAAGGACTTGCCGCAGACGTCGCAGGCGAAGGGCCTGGTCCCGCTGTGGGAACGGCGGGCGTGCACCTCCAGCCCGTGGGGCGTGGAGAAGACCTGCGGGGACAGTGAAGGGGGGGGGCGGCCGTGAGCACCCGCTCAGGAGCCCGCTCATGGCTGACCCAGGCTCCGTCCCCAAGACTCTAGACCGTCCCCCCCCCCAACCCCGCGGGGTGTGGTCCCAGAGCACAGAGCCAGGAGCAGGCCCGGAGTCACCTGGTATGGCCCCAAACATAAGAAAAAACAGAAAACTTCAGAGCCAGCTGGAACGCTGGCGCTGAGGCCTGCTGGGCCGTGCTGCGGGAGAGCGACGGACCTCTCGGGACAGCAGCCCCTCCTGGCCCCAGGCGCCGGGCCCCAGGGACAGGGAAAAGAGCTAAGGACAAAGGCTGTGAAGCACCTAGCTAGGTGGCCCCTCCCTGGGCCGTCGGGGGCGGGGGGCAGGCTCGGGCCCCCTCCCTGCCCCGACACCCACCTTGTTGCATTTGATGCAGTGGTATGTGTCCAGGCCCGGGGAATAGCGAACGCTGAAGTCTAGAGGCGGCTCAGCGCTGGGCACCAGGGGGCTGCCGTACAGGCTGACGGCCCGCTCCAGAAAGGCGGACTGCATGGTGGAGGCGGCCTGCCCGTAGCTGTGGCTGTAGGTTGAGGCCAGGGTGTCCCAGGAGAAACTCGGCTTGTAGAACGGGGGGCAGTCGGAGGGCGGTGAGTCCATGGCATGGGGCCTCACAGCGGCACATTCTGGGGTGGGGGCAGGTGCCATGTGACTGGTCTGAAAGTGGGGAACCCCTTCTGCTCCCCCACGCCTGGTGGAGCCCCAGTGTTTCCTGCTGGGGGTGTGGGGCAGTGTCTCGGCCCTGTCCAGCCCACCAACCCTCCTCTGGACCCGGCTTGAACATGCCCCATGCTCCCTCCCTGGAGACTCGGGTACCTGGCAGCAAGGCCGTCCGGGTTAGGCTGGACTCTGGGTCCAGCTCTGGCCCCCGCTTGAGGGGGGCCCAGTCCAGGCCGGGGCTCGGGAGCAGCGTGCTGAGGACGGGGGTGGCGCTCAGGCCCGACTCCTGTGGCACTGTGGAGAGACCCGGCCATCAGGCCTGGGGGACCCAGGCCCCAGACACCCGCTTCCCGCCATCTCTGGGGCTCAAGCATGGGTTCTGAGGTGGGAGAGAAAACTGGGCCAGGAGGAGGCTTCAGGAAGGTTCTTGAACCCTTCTGTCTTTCTCAAGCCCCTGTCCTTAGCCCGGTGACTGCGGCCAGCTGTGGGCCGGGACAAATGGGCACATCTGTCCACCATCACCCAGGCGGCATCTGCCACCGGGCTCCTGCTTGCAGCCCCGCGTGGGGTGTGGCGGGTTGGGGGCCCCGAGGGAGAAGCCGTGGCCCACTGGAGCGCGGGGCTTACCGGGGCCAAGGACTGGCGGCCAGAGCGGGCCGTCCTCCCGCGCGCGTGGCCTGTGGGAGGTGTGCGCCTTCTTGCTCTTCACCAGGAATGAGCGCGGCATCGTGGCTTGGCCCTGGCAGGCAAGGGAGGTGTGAGAAGAACCGAGCAGCGTGCTTTGCCCTGGGGTCCAGGTCGGCTCCCCTGAGCAGAGGGACAGACACCGCCCAGGGCCGGCCTTGCTGGACAGGGCCCTGTGGAGACAGAGCAGAGATGGCGGGGGGGCAGCCACAAGCCAAGGACGGCCACACCAGAGGCGACCGCACCAGCTCATCGAGGCCCAGTTTCTGTCCAGGAGGCAGGAACAGTAGTTTCTGCTTCCGTCAGTCACCAGAGGAGGTGCCAGAACCAAGCAGCGGCCAGTTCTGACACGTGTGTGTACATGTGTGTGCACACGTGCACCTACGCTCTTACACACACAGGCACGTGCACACGCATGCTCATATACACAGGAAGAATCACACAGTACACACAAGCACACGCAGGTACACACATGCACACATGCATGCAGGTACACGCAAGCATGCTCACACACAGCTATGCACATGCACATGCCGGTACATGCAGGCACACACATGCTCATTCACACATGCACGCTCATGCACACATGAGTACACGTATGTGTACGTGCACAGATACACATGCACACATGCATACTCTCGCATGTGCTCACACGCCTCCCGCATGACCTCCATGCGCGAGAAGAGAAGAGAAGAGAAGAGAAGAGAAGAGAAGAGAAGAGAAGAGAAGAGAAGAGAAGAGAAGGGGCTCTCCTCTGGGCCCACGGGGAGCCCCAAACCTGGAAAGCTGCCCTGGCCTCCAGTGGGGTGGACACCGGCACCGGTGGCCCCAGCAGGGCCAGGCACCTGTGCTCTGGGTTCTGTGCTCTGCATCTGCTCACACCCACAGAGAGGAAGGGGGGACTCTGGCCTCCTCAGGGCCTGCTCCCCTCTCTCCGAGCCGGGGCGCTGGACTTGCAGTGCCAGGGACTCACCCCGGGGGCCCAAGGGACACGCCTCGTCCACAGGCCCAACCCCACCGGTCTGGGGGGCAGGGGACTTGGAGTTGGACATAGAGTTTGGGAGACATTAGAGCCTGCTGCACCCCTGGGTGCCCCTAGTCAGCCTCGAAACTGGTCGTGGGTGGCAGCCGGGACATACAGCAGGGGAGCGCCAGGTCCCTGGGTGGGGGGGCGCTCAACGCCTGAGCCCCGGAGCACACTGTCCCCCCAACCCCCAGCCCTGCACCTGGGGAGGCCCCGAAATGAGCACCGGGGAGCGGGTCCACTCCCTCTGTGGCCCTGGCCAGTGCCCACGGGCAGCGGGAGCCATGGGGCCCAGCGCGGGAACGGGCCGGCGCCTGCGCCTGCAGACCGTGGCCGGGAGTGATAAGGCCGGCAGGGACCAGTCTGGGAGCAGGGAGATTAGCCCAGCGGGGTGGCCACCCTGCTCCTAAGAAATGACCAGGGCCAGGCTGGAGGGACCCCTGGCTATGCCCACAGAACCATGGGACCTTCTCCTTGTGCAGGTCATGGTGGGGGGCTGAGCCCATGACGAACGGGGCTCCCAGCCCACTGCATCCTGGGCGTGACCTAGCACAGACGGAGGAGCAGGGCTGGGCTGGGGACAGGGCTGGGGGGTCTGTCTATAGGGCTAGAGTGGACGGCCTACTCTGCCTATGGACAGAGACTTCCAGAAGGCTGCCTAGACAGGTCTGGGGGGCGCCCCATCCCTGGCCTGTGCCGCCACACCTCAAGGGGGGGTGAGTCTTACAGCCGGCGGCAAGGGCCCCCCTGCTCTGAGCTCTGACTCGAGGGCTTGGGTCCCAGTCCTGGGGTGCCTCGGCTGTCTCACCAGCTCAGTGACCACTGCCACCTCGTCATCCACAGCCGCGATGGCCCTTATCTCCCAGGACAGTCTTCCTCCCGCCCCCACGCCCGGTGGCCCGCGCCCCCCTTCCTTCCCCTCTGCAAGCCCTCAGGAAGCCTCCGGGGACTCGAGGACTGCAGGGGTGAGGGCCCCTGCTCTGCGGGGCTCCCCGGCATGGACGGCACCCTCAGGCCCACTCTTCCTACGCGGCTGTGCCCTGTGGGGCATGGGGGGTGTCAGCCTGCTTGGGGGAGCACTGGGCCAGTGGGGAGGAGCACAACAGAGTCTTGGGGGCCCGGACTGTGGTGCCCTGCTGTGTGGAGCCGTGTTCCCGTGTCCATCTGTCCATCCACCTGTCCATCTCCCTGGACCTCTCAGTCCCCAGAAAGGAGCAGGCAGGCACGGCACGGGGTGGGGAGAGAGGGTGCAAATGTCTTAGATCTTTTCCAGAACGCTCTTACCCAGTGCTGCCCGAGGGGTGGGTGGAGAGTGAGGGCATCCATGGACATGCACCTTTCGGCCCCGGCACCAGCCAGCCAGAGCCATGGTTTCTGGGGTCCCCCGCCAGAGGAAGGTCCTTCTCTGGTGCCCACCGCCCCCCTCCCTGGAACATTTTCGCTGCTAACCCGGTGAAGGGACTCGGCCAATCCCAGACCCAGTCTCGCGCGCCCCGTGAGACCCAGCTTGGTCGAGGAACTTCCTTTTGGCCCCTGTGAGCCAAGTTAAAAAAAAAACGGAACCAGTCACCTGTCCCACAGTTAATTAACAACCCGAGTTGTGATTCACACGAACCTGGGCTGAGAAACTCTGAGAGCAGAGATTGTGAAAGAAACCCAAGATTTCTTCACGGAGCTGAGGCCGATGGTATCGGGGGCTCCGGAAAGACGCTCGCGGCTAGTGTCGTCCTGGGGGTCCCCGATTTTCACGGAAAAATCTCAGCCAGGGTTTCTGGGGCAGGATGGCGGCTACAGAGGCTCAAGGTCCAAACCTGTGAATTCTCAGCCAGGAGTCCCGGACCCCCCTCTCACAGGGGCTGAGTGGGCGACTGAACCTGGGCCCTCACAACCAGCCTGGATTCATATCCCCGGACAGAATCCCTGACTGCCTGCTGCACCCCAGCCTCCCTTGACCCTGAACCTCATCCCTGCGCTTCCCTTCTGGGGAAGGCCCCTTGTTTCTCAAAGTTTGCTCCGGGGGACCCCTGGGGGTTCCTGTCTATTTAAGGAAGTGACTTAGGGAGAACACGAAAGTCATTTTCCAGTAAGATTTGAGGGCAGGGGGACCCCTGGCCATTCTAGGGGCCCCAACAGCGTACACTTGATGTTCCTCTCCCCAAGGAGCGGGAAGCGTGTGGCACAGAGACCCCACCAGACACAGCCGCACTGCCCGCCCAGCTCAGCGGGAACTGTGCTCTCTGTGAAGGTCACAGCGAGCTTCACTGTGCAGGCTGTTTGAGGCGGGTAGCCTGACTCCCCAGAGCCTCGAGGGACACTCCCAAGCTGCCCCCCTCTGTGCATAGGGTCTGTGGTGCCCAGAGACCCCAGCAACAAAACCTGACCAGAGTTAACTGTGATCTCCCCCCAAAACGCCCTAATCCTGACACCAAGAGGACAAACAAGCCACCTTTTTGTGGGACCCGTTTACCAGCAAAGAGACAGACAGACAGACAGACAGACACACAGACACAGACACACACACACACACACACACAAGCACACACACACAGGAGCCCCCAGCCCCGGGGCCAGAGCCACTTAGAGGGGCGCCCAACTTCCACCCCGGCTTTCCGGAGCCTGCAAATCCAGGCGCACCCCCAGGAGAGCAGGAGACTAAACACTGTGCCTGCGGGAACCCCTCAGCAACCCGCCCTGGCCAGTCCCTGGCAGAGGCCGCAATTCTCAGACGAGCTAACTTAGCCTTGCCTCCAAAAATGGGCCCAAAGGTAGGAAGAAAGGAAGAAAGAGAGAAAGGAAGGAAGAAAGAAAGAGAGAGAGAAAGAAAAAAAGAAGGAAAGAAAGAAAGGAAGGAAGAAAGGAAGAAAGAAAGAAAGAAAGAGAAAGAAAGAAAGAAAGAAAGAAAGAAAGGAACGAAAGAAAAAGAAAAGGGTCCAAAAGGCAGAGAGGGGAGCTTCTTGAGTTTTCTTGTTCTGAGGTTGGGGGGCATGGATGTGGCAGGGGGTGCAGGCTCTTCAGTCTCAGGGCAGAGGACTCAGGGGGGCCAGGCGCCCAGTCCTGCTCGAAGGTCCCTCAGCACTCCCCCCACCCCTCTACTGTTTCTTGGACAAAGATGGGCTGGGTGAGGGACAAGCCAGCCTGTCCCCAGGGGGTTAGGGACACGCAGTGAATCAGGCACCTGCGCGTGGGTGATGCCACATGCTCTTCCCAGGGCACCTGTCCGCCTAGAATCGCATGAACTCGGGGGGCCCGGAATTCTGACACCAGTGCAAAGTCCTGGAGTCCTGTCGGACCCCCCCTTCCAGAGGCAGCCCCGCCAGTGGAAGGCGTTCCAGCCCCCCTCCCGATTCTTCCTAAAACTGCTGGAGGATCGGGGTCGCCTGCTGGAAACAATCCAGGTGACACGAGCAAATAAAGAAAAAAGTGCCCAGGCCGCCCGTGCCCGCGGGGGGCCCATCCGGGCGCTCACCTCGGGTCCTGGCTGCCCGGATCCTGGGCGCGCTGGTGCGGGCCGCCCGCCTGTCACTCGGCACCGGGACTTCTCCTTTCTCCCCTCTGTCTTTCCTCTTCTGCTCCCCTCCCTGATTTCCAATCTGATTATTGGTGTCAAAATCTGGCGGCGTCGAGCAGCCAATGGAGAGGTCAGCCCCGGGGCTGCATTTGCTTATCAGAGTCCTGTCCCGCGAGAGGGGCGCGGGCGTGCCGGGGGGGCGAGCCACCGCGGGCGGGCGGGCGACGGTGCCCGGCCCGGGGACCCGGCCCCCCGCCCCGCTCCCGCCCCCGCCCCGTCTCCGGCCCGCCGCACCCTCAGGAATTCGCCACCCCTGCTGGGATGCGGGGTCCGCGGGGTCGGCTTCGGAGTGTCCAGCCCCAGGCGAGACCGGCCACCGGCCACGGGCGCTCCCGGGCGCGACCGTAGCGCCGCCTGGCGGCCGGGGAGGGGAGCGGGGGTCCCCCGCGTCCAGCCCGCGCGTGGAGGGGCCCTGGCCGCGGCGGGCACAGTCCCGCCCCGGGGCCCCGCC